TTAACACTTGGATGCTTCAAGTTTGAAATCTTTGAAATATGTCTTCTGTCAAGGTTCCACTATCTCAATCTTCAAACCCAAATGACACTTTTAATGTTCATCGGCCTAAGCCTTCAGCCACTTTTTCTCCCAGCATCTGGGGCGACCATTTTCTGTCATATGCTTCTTTGGTAAGACTTCTTTCCTAGTGCAATAAACTATTAATTTGATCCCTACATTATTATTATTCGACTGAAAGTTAAATTTGTAATTAAAAAAAAAAAAACAATGGGAACTTTAACTCATCAAGAATGCTAATTTCATCTCTATATGATTCAAAATCATCTTATCTAACTTTCCTTCCCTCAACATTGCAAACATGTAACAAATCTAACTACCAAAGTTAAATTTACACTTTAGAAATTGACAGCATAAGGGTTATGCGTTTTCTAATGTGTTACCAGATGTATAATTATCTTATAATGTAGTCTATATCTTTTGTATTTGGAAACCTCCTCATTCAAACATATCATAAAGGTTATGCTTTTCTTTTTTCTTAAATCAATGTGATCGTCCGGAGGAAATGGATGCTAAACTTGAACAACATGTACAAGAACTGAAGGAAGAAGTGAGAAGGATACTAATGACATCGCTTGAAAATGTTTCACAAAAGCTGAACTTCATTGATGACATTCAGCGCTTAGGTGTGTCTTACCATTTTGGAAATGAGATTGAACAAATTTTACAAAAAATTCACGCAAACTCTTATGATTTGGATGACCTGTACACTGCTGCTCTTATTTTCGATTGCTTAGACAACAAGGTTATAACGTTTCATGCGGTAAGTACTCTAGGATGGTGGTCCTGGTCGTTTTCTTTTTTCTTGAGGTTCTGTATTTTCCATTTTGTTGGTCATGCAGATATATTCAACAAGTTCAAGGACGGTGATGGAAAATTCAAGGAATCACTGGTCGATGATATTGTAGGACTATTAAGCCTGTATGAAGCCACACAACTTTGGATACATGGAGAGGGGATACCAGATGTGGCACTAACCTTCACCACCACTCATCTTGAATCGGCTACAGACCGTTTAAGCTCCCCACTGGCGAAAACAGTAACCCATGCCTTAAATCAGCAGCTCCGAAAGGGTTCAAGGTACTACTTGTCTGTCTACCAGGAACTAAGAGAATCGCCTAATGAAACTCTCCTAACGTTCGCCAAGTTGGATTTCAACCGACTGCAACGAGTCCATCAGAAAGAACTAAACGAACTCACAAGGTTAATTAATTACTCAACCGACCATATATATCACTTGCTAAAGCGTTGAATTCTCCACCTCTAGCTACTATATAATTATGTTTGTAACTCAGATGGTGGAAGGATTTGGACGTGCCAAACAAGCTACCTTTTGTCAGAGACAGATTGGTTGAGGTCTATTTCTGCTGGAGTTTGTCAGTCTACATTGAGCCTCAATATTCCTTCGCTAGGAGGACATCATGCAAAGTTACTGCTATAACATCCATTATTGATGACTTTTTATGATGCTTATGGAACATACGAAGAACTAGAGCTCTTTACTGAAGCTATCGAGAGGTACAAATATATAATTAGTTGGAAATCATCTTATATATATAAACTATCTAACATTACATCACCATCCAATCAAAGAGGAAAAACTAACCTAATTACACACAACTGATTTATATTACCTGATCAGGTGGGATTTTTCAGCCATGGATCAACTACCAGAGTATATGAAAGTCTGCTATCGGGCGTTGTTGGATATATACAGTGAAATTCATGAAAAGCTGGCGCGTGAGGGCAAATTATATCACATGCACCATGCAAGAGAAGCGGTACTAATCCCCAATATATATGTGCTTAGTTTTGAGTCTAAAGTTGTTCAAGGCCCGAAAAACGTGCTGCAAATACTTCACAATATGAATAGAAGCAAATAATTATTTAGATATAGTATTTAGATATCAACATGAATTAACAGTAGAAATGATTAAGAATTATTATAAACTCATGATCTGGTATGTGTCGGATGAAAAAACTAGTTAGAGGCTACTTCAATGAAGCCAAATTGTTCCGCCAGAAGCACATACCATCACTGGATGAGTACATGCCTGTATCACTCGTGACCAGCGCCTACCCGTTTCTAATAACCACATCCTTTGTTGGAATGGAAGAAGCTGCAATAGACTCCTTTGATTGGTTGTTAACTTCACCTCAAGCAGTAAAGGCTGCATCAACAGTTGGCAGACTCATGAATGACATAGTGAACCACAAGGTACTTAATCGTATATGTAAATAGTATTAAAAAGTATTGTCGAATGTAAAAAGTCTCACACTAAAAACCTGACAGAATAAAATATAACTCATATTAAGTGGTTTCATTTCTAAATTGCACCAAACTCTTTTGTGACAAAACCTACACATGCTGGGTTAACAAGCACGACTATTATGATTGCATTAATACTTATATTAATGGTCCCTTTTTAACTTAATCCTCATGCCTGATTAGTTTGAGCAAAAGAAAGAATATTTTGTCTCAGCTGTGAACTGTTACATGAAGAAATATGGTGCCACAGAAGAAGAAGCGATAATCGAACTTCAAAGACAAGTTAATAATGCATGGAAGGATATAAACGAAGCGTGCCTCCGGCCTACAGCTGTCCCCATGCCCCTGTTAATTCGCTTTCTTAATTTTTCTCGGGTCCCTGATGTTGTGTACAAGTGTGAAGATAGCTACACTAATCATGAGGGTGTGCTAAAAGATTTTTTAGTTTCTACACTAGTGGAACCCGTGGCTCCATAAGCCTAAAATATCGACTTATTGTGATGTTTCTTTCAAAGTACAGTCTCCAGCCCCCAAGTTGCCTACAAAAAATAAGGAGCTACCATCCGTTAAGACTGTAAAAATCTAATTTGGGTTGTTCGTTTGCTTTCCGTATGATTTTATTATCAATAAAAGAACTTCGATGCAGTTGGGAATAAATCATATATTAATTATTCTCAAATAGCACACTAGAACATGCATGTACATCTGTTGGTGCTAAAACTTGGACAATGCTTGGGCACATGGTTCAACATGTATTTTTCCCTTTTTTCTTTTTTTTTCTTTTTTTTTTTTTTTTGTTTTTGTTTTTGGTTGTCTTAGTGTCACAAGATGGCTCCAGAGAAAGTGATAATAAGCGTGCTACTGTTGGAAGTTGTCAACAAACAATGTTTGTGCTTGAACATGTGTGTAAGTTGTGCGTTTAATTTGGCTTCTGAATCAAATGATTGTGCACCGAGTAGGACACTAGTTTAGTTAAGTTCTTTTTTGTGCCTCAAGCTAATGAGGGCTTAATATTTAGTGTAACTTCGTGTATACTTGCCTAAAAGGTAAATAAAAGCGAAATAGAAACTAAAACGGAAACAAAATGTTATCATTTCATAATGAATTACAAACGTTCACAAAACTAAAATCTAGGCCCATGGGTTGAACTGAATAATTTGAAATGTAAATTGACTGGAAATGTAAAGAAAGCAGTAAAACTCTTGCAAGATTCAGGCCATGAAGGGCGAGATAATGCTAAAGAACTCCACCTAGATCACTGGTGTCAGATTGGACTTAGGACAAAACATGCCCCTCAAAGAGGAAATTAGGTTCGTTGGAATTGTACACCAACCGAATCATACAATAGGGTGGCAGAGCTGTAAATGTTTTAGATATCAAGGATCATAGGCAGTGTTTGTTTGAAGAAAGGTTTCGAAATTGTAGTTGACGAGCTAAGAGAGTTTTTCTTAAGAGCAATTGGGTTGATTGAAGAGACTCAAGGTTTTGTTTAATCGTAGAGATTGAATTTGACGAAGGTCCAAGCCCTTTGAACCTTCACATCTCCAAAGTCATTGAGTTTATGTGGTTTTATGTTTGAGCTTCGAGCCATTGGGCTTCACATCTCCAAAGTCGTTCTCCTTATGTAATTTTGTATAATACACGTAAATCTTCCCCTTACACACAATGGTGTAGTCAAGATTTTCAAATAATGGGGTTGTAATATCAACCAAAAAAGCTTTATTGAGCCATTTCGTAGAGCAAGTAGTAGGCACTACCAATTCCTGTCATGATATGTCGAAAGTTTATTTCAACATATGTTGACGACTACTATTATTTGTAGATGCTTGTCAAGGGTGGATGCATGATATTGTAGAGTAATGTTGAAGACTGTCAAGGCTTTTCAACTAAAGTATTTAATCGAGCAAATGATGCGCATAATAGAGTCACACACAAGAATGGAGAAAAGGAAGACAAATATGATAGAAAAAATGAAAGTAGTAGAATATAGGGTTGTAATTTAGTTTGCCTTAGATGTTTATAAGAGTAAAAAACAATACACAAACAAATATACATGGGGTCTTGAAGTTGTTGGAATCAAGGACAACTAATGACCCTATTCTGGCTCTGTCATTGCTTACACATGGCTAAACATCGCTGCACGTTTTATATGTTTGTGTTCTTTGTGCTGCAAATATTTCCCATATCCATCAAAACTGAATTGGTCTTTCTTTCTTTAAGTGTGTTTGTTTGGCCTCTGGGACTGGACTAGACTGTACTTATTAATGTAGTCTTATGTTTGGCCTAAGCTGGGACTAACCTAAATGAGACTAAAGAGGACTCGTGTGCACTAGAGAGCTCGCTAGAAGTTCCTAGCAAGACAAACCACGCGACTAGCTAAGGGCTGGTTTGGTATTGTTGTGCTTTGAAAAAAAGCTGCTTCTGCTGTGCTGTGAGAATAAGCAGCTGTGAAATAAAGTAGCAGAGTGTTTGGTAAATTTTTATGTAAAACAGATGTGAAACAAATCCAGTTTTTCAAAGCTGGGTTTTGTAGCTTCTTGTTTTTGGCTTTTTTTCACCCAAAACTGTAAAAAAAAACTGAAGCTGAATGTTTACCAAACACAAAAACAGCTCCCAGCTTTTTTTGATACCAGCTTTTTTTTCAGAAACACGTCAGTACCAAACCAGGTGAAAGACCATCCTGGCTTTAGCCCCTTCTGCTTCGTCCCTCGCATCTGCTTCTTCTAGGCTTCGTTCTTTTTGGATCTGGATGGGATTTGCTTCAATCTGCAGATCGTTGGAGGAAACAGGCATCATGGCGGCGATTTGCTTCGGGCGTTGTCGTGACCGTCATGGATGCCAAGCTCTTGCAAGCTTCAATTCCCAACGCTTCGGCCCACAACGCCACTAGGCCTCCAAGACCCACTCTCGATTCGAACAATTTTTTCCGACCAAATCCCTGAAGAAAACTGCTCCATCCTCTCCAAGTTTCTTCTTCTTCTGCAACCTCTCCCATTAGGTAAAGACGATTGTTTTCACCTTTTGTTCATCAATTTTTAATTTTTTATATTTTATATTTTTATTTACATTGGTTGTTTGGTGCTATGATGCTGCTGATTATGGTCATAAAAATTGGGAAATTCTAAATAATCAAAGTATATGGTTTTCTGAAAATACAGTAAATTGGGATTGTATATGGTTTTGCTGATTGCATAATGTTCTTGTAAAGGAAGGTGGTTGTATAATGTGCATTAATTAGGAACGACAAATAGATCAGAACAATGTTCTTAGATCCCACATTTTACATGTTTTTCAAACTTTGTGGAACAAATGGCTTTCTGCTGTTTGGTTTTGGATATATATTTTTGGAAGGTTGAATTCAGATTCAGAAGTTAATGTGCTTGGTGTGTCATATGGTATGAAATCGATAGTTGGGAAGTGGCAAAGATAGTTTCTTTCGTTGATTTTATGGATTTCGATGAAAATGGAGGTATTCGGTTAGAAATTAAGTTGAAACTTGAAAATGAGTTGATTATTCTGAGATAACTTATTGTCATGATCGGATGTGTATGAAATGATTGTTAAATTTCAATGATCCTGAAAATTATGTGCTTGTTGTATTAGGATTTTGAGAAACTAGACTTTATGAAGCTCATAGCCTTAGCTCAAAGGGTATTGGACTAGTTATGGAATTGGGTAGAACGAGGTTCAAATCATATAGTAAATAAAACGAGTTCTGTTTCTGCAGGGTTCAGATTTGGGTGGTTTGATGGAATGCTTTCCTTTTGTTTATATATTCCCAGTTGTGCACGAATGCCACATATGTTAGCTGTAATATTCTTTAATTGGTTCGTTGCAGTGAGTACTCCATGCAGCTCAATGCTTCTCGTATAAAGTTCTTCAGTCTCAAAATGATGTGGTCAACTCCATGAAGGAGGCAGCACCCAAGGAGCTTCTGAATGTGAGCCAAGTAAAATGATAATTATGTGTCCTATGAGAAAAGTAAAATGATAATTCAAATTTTGATTAGAAAAGTAGTATTAAGGACAAAGAATTGCGTGCCCCAGCATGTGATGCTCTTATCTATTTCCTATCAAGTCCACAGTTTGATGCAGATGCAAGGCTTTGGATGCAGATGCAGGGCTTTTGATTAGAAAAGTAGTAGTAAGGACAAAGAATTTAGGTGCAAATTCAGAGCTTTGGAGTTTGAGTGTTGTTTTGATAAATTATTAATAAATAAATCGAAAAGCTTGGAGCTAAATTAATTAATTGTTTGTCTATATATGTACTTTGCAATGACTCTGCAATGGCAGTAGTCTGGTGCACTGGGTTCAGTTGTTTGTTTTGGCTCAGTTGTTCGTTTTTGTTTAGTTGTTTAGTTATTTGGGCTGACTCAAATGGTTCTATTAATATACTTGTGACATATCAATGATGATCATCTGTGCAATATAGGATTGAGAATATAATCATGCACATGAATATAAGCACGCAAAGATTATATCACACACAATTGCTTTGTAATTTTGGGTAAGATTGTATTCAGCCACCATTGACCACTGATTCTACAAACTGAGACCAAGTAATTTTGCATCTTTGTATCTTTGTGTAAAGCTTACTTCTTGTATTGACTGTGCTTTTTAACTTACCTTCCATTGACCAGTTAATCTGATTGTAACTTTTTAATCTGCAGGGGGTAGGGATGGGCAACAATTATGGCGAGCGAGTAACCGCGGTTATTTACCCATAACCGTTTATGTTCATACCCGCATAACCATACCCATAATTGTGTGCCCATTTAACCATAACCGTTTAACCATTTAACCATAACCATTTACCCGTTTACCCGTTTTTGAACCTATTTATCCTTTTTTTATCCATTTACCCCTTTTTCACCCGTCTACATGTGTTTTTTTTTTTAACAACTTGAAAATTACAAAAGAAAATTTTGTCAATTTTTGTTTTCTGACAATTAAATATCGTTATAGGTACATTTTTGCATGCATTTTCCTATTTTAATCATTTGAAGTCCTGGTACAATTCCAATAATTGAAATAATAGTTTACAAAACGATATTTTTCTGCTACACTCAAGCAAGTCTTTAATTATAATCCATATAATTACAAAGTAAAGTTTCTAAAAACAAAAAATAATCATTATCTTGAATACTAGATGATTCAAAACACGCGTAATCATTACACATGTATTTTAGAGTTTGCTCAATGGTCCTACTAATTTTAGGGTTTGCTCAATAGTCCTACTAATTTTCGAGTGCTACGATTTCGGGTCCGCACAGGAGGCTTTGGGTGAAGGACAGGTCCAAGGTGTGGTGGGAGAATTTGGGCCACCCAGATGTTTCAGAGGAGGAGTTTCGAAAGGCGTTTCGGATGAGCAAGGGAACGTTCGACATGATATGCACGAAGCTGGAGCCGGCGGTTTTCAAGAACACAATGATTATGCGTGTCTTTTAGAGTTCCCTCAATAGTCCTACTAATTTTAGATTTCGCTCACTAGTTTTTAAATTTTACATGTAGTAAATTAAATGGGTAAATGGATACTTATTATAATCGCAGGTAATACCTATAACCGATGGATACCCATTATAACCTTAGGTATTATAACGGGTAATACTCATAATCGTCCATTTAATTTTCATAAATAAATGGTTATCACATGTGTTAAGATATCGCAACATAACGAATATAATGAATATAATTTCAATCTTATAATTATCTTCGAGTATGGAAACTTGGCCTCCTATGTCGTACTCTGCAGTTAAATACATGTGTTAAGATATCACAACATAACGAATATAATTTCAATCTTTTCATAAGAAGAAATCTATTTTAATTTGTTTCAATAAAAATTTGGCTTGTTAATAAGTCAGTAGGAAGAAGGAAAAAAAAACGAGAGTGATAATGGCTCATACACTGGGGGAATATAGCTTACGGAACCTTTCAGCCCGGCTGACATTGTTTGACTTTGGGAGGGGCCATTCGATGATTCCAAGAGGAACCTTGTTAGTCCAAAGTCACCAACATGAGCTACAATATCTTCATCAAGAAGAACATTGATGGGCTTAAGATCTCAATGAACAATGGAAGTTTCATAGTAGTGGTGGAGATAATCTAATGCGGAAGCAACATCAATGACAATATTCTGTCTTTGAATAAGGCTTAATCTCTTAATCTGAGATTGCTCGTCATCTCTTGGATACAACCATGAATCTAAACTTCCCTTTTCCTTGAACTCGAAAACTAGACTTTTGAAGTCATTTTCCAGATTATCAATGCTCGAGCATGCAGTTACGATCTTCAGAATATTACGGTGCCTTATACTTCTTAAAGCTTTGCATTCATCAATAAAACTCTTGAAAGCTCCTGGTTGTTGAAGGTTTAATACCTTAACAACAACTATCGTTCCATCACTCGGGATCACTCCTTTGTAAACAGAACCAAAACTTCCCAAACCAATCAAATTATCCACAGAGAACCCATTAGTTGATGCAAGAAGTTCAGAATAAGAGACATCTAATTTCCAATCCTTAAAAGAACGTGAAGTGGCCAGTCCACCTCATAACCTTTTCACCTTCGAATAAGTAGCAATAAAGCATGATAGAGCAATTATAAATGCAAGTGCACAAGCCATAGGGATAACTACATTTCGGGAAAATAGTCCTTGAGATATGTTGGGGCATGAAGGTAGACAGAATTGTGAGATGCCACCACAAAGCCTTTCATTACCAAGAATTGAGACACCACTTGAATTTGAAAAGATCCCTTCTTTGGGCAAATTAGAGCTCTAAGCTTACCTAAAAATTTAGGAATCTGGCCAGATAAATTATTGCGGGAAATATCTATTCTTGCAAGCCTTTTAAGTTGGCCAGAGACTGAGGAATTGTTCCTTCAAATTGGTTACGTTCCAAATGTAGGCTCACCAAACTAGCACAACTGCCAAGGGTTATGGAGATTTCACCTGATAACTTGTTTCCTGATACATCTAGCTCCGAGAGATGAACCAACTCGCCCACTTCAGATGGTAGAGAACCAGTCAAAGAATTTGTTCGACATGGACAGATAAATTGAAAGCGACGAAAGCCCGATAACCTCTTTAGGTATGGTGCCACTTAGCTGATTACTAGAAAGGTTAAGCAGCATTAAGTTTTGGCAATTCCCGAGACTCAGAGGTCTGCTTCCCTCAAACTTATTCCCCTCCATGAAGAGCCTTGTGACTGAAGTCAAGTTGCGTAGCGTCGATGGGATTGTCCCAGAAAATTGGTCAAGTTTTAAATACAGCCCCTGCAACTTCTGAAGCTTACCGATCACATCAGGGACACTACCACCAAGATAGTTTTGTTCCATTCCTAGATTGGTCAAGTTTACAAGATTTGCAATGCCGATAGGGATGCTTCCACGTATTAAATTTCCCCCCATTGTAAAAATTATCAGTTTCGTCGAAAGACTGGCTATGGACTCTGGCAATTCCCCTCCAAAACATTTACGACTAAAACCTAAAACCTCAAGATTAGTGCAATTAGCCAAGAAGCTGAGTGAATTCAGGTCACCTGTTTTCCCATTTCCCAGCCTATTGTCATCAAAGTTTAGTTTAAACAAGCTTCTCAGACTCCCAAAATTTTCAGCAGGGAGTTTCCCCGTGAGGCCACTTTCGGCAAAATCAAGAATTCGAAGTTTAGAAGCATTTGACAATGAAACAAGAATACTTCTGGTGAATTTGTTGACACCACCAGAAAATTTCTCAAGATTAGGAAGAGTAGTCCCCACATTTTGTGGGAGCTCTCCCTGCAGCTGGTTCTGAGTAAATGTTATATAGTATAACGACGATATATTATAGACTGAAGAAGGAACCGTACCAGAAAGTTTGTTTGATGGAATTACGAATCTTCCCAAGCTTGTCAACAGCCCGAATGCATTTGGTATGCTTCCTTCAAAATTGTTGTCAGAAAGAGAGAGGGCATACATGAAAGAAAAGTTTCCTATCCAATTCGGAATTGTACCGGTGAGATTGTTTTCATCAACCCAAAAATGAGTTAAATTCAACAACGAATTGAGTTGGTTCGGAATTGACCCAATAAGCTTATTTGCACCAAAATCAAGCATTCTTAGCTGCGTGCAGTGAGATATATTAGTTGAATTTTCCCGCCGAAAGAATTCGAAGTCAGGTTGAGATGCTGCAGGCCTAATAGACGTCCGATTTCTTGAGGAATTTCACCGTGAAAGTTTTTGCCTATCAAGTTGATTCCAGTAAGATAAGTAAGATTTCCGATCAAAGGCGGTACAGAGCCTACCAATTTTTGAGCTTTCCAAATTCAAGATCATAACTCTTTTGTTAGCATGGTTGCCCGTAACGCCAACCCAACTGCGCAAATCGATCGAATCATTCCATGAGTCCATGATATGGAGAGGATCTTCTGTTATTCTACTCTTGAAGTCCAGCAAAGTGAGGTGATCAGATTTGTTTCTGAATGCGGATTCTGGGCACGTGATCGTGCATAAGAGAAAGAACCCGGGAAGGAATTTAAACAAAAATTTCGTATAGCAAATATATGAAAGCTTCATTTTGTTGTAAATACTGAATACAGATTTCGTTTTGCTTTTCTTTTTATTTTTTTTTATTGTGGTTTGTTTGTTGAATTCAGTGTTTTAAAGAGGAGTCTGCTTCTTCATTATTGGGTTCATTGAGGAGTAGTGGTGGATCAAGGATTTCAAATTTGGGGAGTCCCAATTATAAAGGTCAAAAAATTTATAGACAAAAATAACATTGAAAAACTAAATATAATACATTTCATTCAAAAATCATATGAAAAACAATATTACAAATTATAAAATCATAATTCAGGCTTTACGAGGTTTCATAAGTTACTAGGAGTACCTAAGTTATTGATTATCTAAAATGAACTACTAAATTTAAAACATCGTGTAGACATCGAAATTTCGGTGAAACAAATGTTCACCAATGCATTAAAGTTTTGACGTGTCAAGGCATACATGGCATACGCCACGTGTTGTACAAATTGTACACATGGCGTGTGACTCAACAAAATAGGAAGAAATACCCTTGAAGGATTAAACAAGTTTGTCTTCTCATTTTTGGGCAATGACAAGACAAGCACATTTCAATCCATTGAGGATCAAAACAAGTTTTTCTTCTCATGTTGGGCAATGACAAGGCAAGCACACTTCAATCCATTACGGATCAAAGCAAGTTTTTCTCATTTGGGTAATGACAAAGCAAGCACATTTCAAGTTTAAAATTGTATTAAGTGGGAAATTAGGCCATAAGTTACACCACTTCAAGTTTAAAATGGTCTTAAGTGGGAAATTAGGCCATAAGTTACACCACTTCAATTTCAATATTGCATTAAGTGGGAAAATTAGGCAATGGTGCTTGGAAAGGAAAAAAATATTTTTTGTGGTGGTGATTCATTCTCAAAGCCTATAAATAGGTTTCTCCATCAAGGTATCAAGCATCAAGGAATTCACAAATACATTTCTCTACTCCCAAAATGGAAGAGAATACTCCCCACACATCCAAAATCCTTGAAGCTTTGAAATTCTAAAGCTCTCAAGCATCCAACCCCCAAATTCCCAAGAATCCCGAAGAATGGAGAAAGCACTCTTCATTCTTCGTCAAATCCATTCTTCAAGATCAAGCCCAAAAGCCTTTGAAGAAAACCAACCATCCAATCGTTCTTCAAGATTAAGCCCAAAAGCCCTTGAAGATCCGCTCATCCATCAACCTTCAAGATCAAGCCCAAAAGCCCTTGAAGAAATCCACACAACCATTATTCAAGATCAAGCCCCGACGGCCCTTGAAGAAAGTGTTCATCATTCATCATCCGTTCATCCTAAGATCAAGCCCCAACGGCCCTTGAAGAACTTCCACCAACTCAAGATCAAGCCCAAAAGCCCTTGAAGAAATCCACACAACCATTATTCAAGATCAAGCCCCAACGGCCCTTGAAGAAAGCGTTCATCATTCATCATCCGTTCATCCTAAGATCAAGCCCCAACGGCCCTTTGGATCAACAACATCAACAAATCCACACATCCAATCGTTCTTCAAGATTAAGCCCAAAAGCCCTTGAAGAAAACCAACTGTTCATTCAAGATCAAGCCTCGACGGCCCTTGAAGAAAACCAACCGTTCTTCAAGATCAAGCCCAAAAGCTCTTGAAGATCAGCTCATCCATCAACCTTCAAGATCAAGCCCAAAGGCCCTTGAAGAAACTTCCATCAACCTTTAAGATCAAAGCTACGAAGGCCCTTGAAGAAACTTACAACTGTTCATCCAAGATCAAGCCTCGACGGCCCTTGGATCAACAAATATACATCTTACGGAGATAGAATCAGAGGATCAAATTACAAAGAGATCGTAACCCCAAAATCATTAAACACAAAATATTATTTTGTACACGTTATTCTTGTCTCTTGTTTTCAGGAATTTTTCGTGTTCACAAATTTGGCACGCCCGGTGGGATATCTCTACCTCTCATCTCTATCCTCAAATCATCGAAAAACGCAAATGGCATCAAGAAAGGATCAAGTTGTTCCTGCAATCAAAGCAAAGAACAGGAACATCATCGCCGCAAGTGGTGATATTTCGGGCACCATAACCCGAAGTGAGGCAAGAGCTCTTTTTGCCGCGGCTTCCGCCCCTGCATTAACTCTGTCAAAGGAACAAGAGCACCTGAGGCACGAGCCTGTGATCACCCTAGCCTCGCTAAGGGCATTAAGAGGGGAAAGCCTGAGGAAATACTCAGAGTCCCTACTCTCCAACGCTGATTCAAGCGGCAGTACAACCATGCAAGTCATGACCACTGGAGTAACTTCAATCGAGGAGCAGCTAGCTAAGATGAATGAAGCAATCGCAAAGCTCACACGGACTGCAGAGGAGAAAAACTTGCAAACCGCCGGACTCATCAACCGTCTGGAGGCACAACATGGCGTCAAAATGAAACCAAGCTCTCTTCCAACTAAGAAGACCGAAGAAGGCTTTAACCCAAATGCCTACGAACTCATGTCAAAGGCTAAGCATGACTTTGCTTCCTCTTCAAATCTTGGAAAGAAGGTTTCAAACACCGTCAATGACAAAGAACGTAACCTCACCAAAACTCAAAAGAAGTTGAAGGAGCATGGTTACGGAGTTGACAACAACAAAGCCGGACTTGGCTTCACACCAAATGCACCCGTGAAGATTTCAAGCAAAGTGAAGAAAGCTAGCGCTCAACACATCAGCGTGAGCATTGAACAAGACCAAAAAGAGCCTAAACTCGCCCCTCGGACGTCGGTCTTTGATAGGATGAGCCATTCAAGCTCCAGAATTTCAGTGCTTAATCGCATTGGTAATCAAGACCGAACCTCTGTCTTCAAGAGGCTTAGCGCGCCAACATCCCAAAGCTCTGTTTTTGAAAGGTTGTTAAAGCCTAAGAAACAAAGCAACACAGCTATCTCTCCTCTGCGACGATCAGCTTCTGAAAGATTTGAAGATAATGAGAAGCCTTTTGGAAAGAGGAAGACAACACCAAAGGAAGAAAAGTTCGATGGGTTAGCAGAAAAAGGCGACGTTCGAAGCTTGATTCCTTCAAAGATGAAGCGCCAAGCAATCCTAGAGGTCGACACAAAAGGACCACTGAAGGTAAGAAGGCGCATCATCGTCCACACTGGCAAATCTTCATGCCAACAAACCCAAGAGGACGGCACTGAAGATGAAATCCCTAAGAAAGATGTCACTTCTGGCTCTTTCGACTCAAAGTCTTCACCTCGACTGTTGGGGGCATGCTCCAAGTCAAGTGAAATTGAAGGATGGACTCATGTCGCTTCGAAGAAACTGCATGAGAAACATATGTCTTCTCCACAAGTGCACCAATCAGAAAGGGGGGAAAGCAGCTTTCGCCAACCCCCAAAGCAATGTGAAAATGTTGAAGATAAGAAAATTTCAACACAAAGATCGTTCATGCGGGATCTTTTCTTCATCGAGGACTTATTCAATTTCTCGATCAAGGCTCCTTGCTATGAAGATTGTGAGGAATGCCTTTCGAAGATCGCTTCGAAGAAATTGGACAAGCAGCAACCATCTTGTCCACAAGTTTATCAGTCGAAAAGGGGGCAAAACAGCTCTTGTCAACCTCCAGAACAATGTGAAAGTGTTGGAGATAATGAAATTTCGACACAAAGATCGTCCATCCCCATCACAATGTGCGACCTCTTCCCAGAAGACTTCTTTAATTACTCGGTCAAGGCTCCTTCCTATGAAGATTGCGAGGAACGCCTCTCCCAGACCGCTTGACAAATCCACAACAACAACCAAACGCTCCTGGTTCGCATGAGCATAAAAGGCGACAACCAAAGCTCCTCGTTCGCACGAGCCTAAAAGGTGACAACCAAGCTCCTCGTTCGCACGAGCCTAAAAGACGATAACCAAAGCTCCTCGTTCGCACGAGCCTAAAAGGCGACAACCAAAGCTCCTCGTTCGCACGAGCCTAAAAGACGACAACCAAAGCTCTTCGTTCGCACGAGCCTAAAAGGCGACAACCAAAGCTCCTCGTTCGCACGAGCCTAAAAGGCGACAACCAAAGCTCTTCGTTCGCACGAGCCTAAAAGGTGACAACCAAGCTCCTCGTTCGCACGAGCCTAAAAGGCGACAACCAAAGCTCCTCGTTCGCACGAGCCTAAAAGGTGACAACCAAACGCTCCTTGCCTGCACGAGCTGAAACTGCAAACAGCAACCAAACACTCCTGGCCCGCAAGAGCATAAACTGTGTACGGCAAAATCATCATCAAAACCATCACTCATTTGAACTACGTCATGACTTGATCCCTCCTCAACCAAGGGTACGTAGGCAACTTGAAACTTCAAAACTTCAAGTACAGTCACATCATCAAAAAAAAAAAGAAAAAAAAAAGATGGGTGGATGGAGTTAAAACTCAAAAGGCCGGAGATGATTTTCAGGAATGAGCAACCTTCAAAGTGTGCATGTTAGAGGTGATCAATACCTCTATAAAAAGGAAGAGGCGCTTGCTCAGAAATCGAAGGGCTGCTTATTCAAAAGTGAAGAGACATCGCTCTGCAAATCTCAAAAGCTGGATTTTCCGGCGTAA